CCCCAAAACCCCAAAACCCCAAAACCCCACTATGGCATTAATAAGAAAAGAGGGAAAGATAGTATAAATAAGATTTTCTAGTGAAAAATTCCATTAAGATAGTTGTGATAAAATAACAGCGATTAATTCACTATCGATTTTAATTAATATAGAAATGAGCCAAGTACCGAAATTTGCTAAAGGCAAGTACTTTGATAAGAGCACACAGCAAACTCTCATTTTAGTCAATTCCTTATTATGTGCCATAATCTCAATTAGAATATGGGGATGTGTAACGAGTATATATACTGAATATAGTGCCAATATGAAGTTTAGTTGGTACGATAGTAATGAAATAGTTACTAATCTGGTTATAGCAATAATTGGAACATTTTTACAGTTGCTCTTTACCATAATTACCGCATATGTACACAAATTGAGAATTTATCTCAGATTTTCAGCAGAAGTAGGCATACTATTGCAGGCCTTATCATTTCCTATACATCTTAATGATAATAACTCCCAAATGTTTATTCAGAATTCTACTTTTCACTTTGCATCCATCTTTATTATATCCTTTTAAACAATGTTCAAAAAGGTATATTACAGAAAAACCTTATACAAAAAAAGTTTGCCATTTATGGTCATTTATCTCTCAGCTCATGCCCACATATTTTGTAGATGCTTTCAATCTAAAGCTGTTGAAATTTATTCAGATGGTGCTATTAATATACTGGTGTTTACACTTTCAATCAGTTTATGTATTGGTATCTCATCATATATAGTTCAAGTAATGCGCCTCTCCTCCTACATTCATAAAAGTTAAAAATCTAAAAGACTCAAGCTTGATTATAGAAATGTTATAGAAAACTTTCCATAGGGATTAATTATCTCAAATTCTGATGGAAAGGTGCATTTTATCAACAATCACTTACAGCACTTCATTGATTACGATTTAAGTTATTCCGAAATGAAAAGATAAGAGAGTTTAGACTCAAAAATATTTAAACGTTATTGCTTTTAAAATGCAGAGTCCAATATCTCTCTTCCTCATAAAAAAGATGCTGATAGCGACCTGAATATGATGAGTTTGCTCGATATTTTAAAAGATGAATCAATAGAAGATAGCTAAAAGATATTTTTTGACGTGATAATGACTGAAAATGTTTAATTGCATCAGGCAACAGACTCCACATAGACTGGGGATGACTGTTTAACAGTAGAAATCTAAAAGGTTTAAGTTCAATTCTCTAATTAATAGGCTTAATTAATCATCATTAGGAATATAACCTCTATCCTTTCTTATGAAAAGTAGAAAAATGACTAAAAATACTTGGAATTATTGTTGGCTACAGTTTCACATGAAATGTTAACACCTCTGAATTCAATGATCGGATTAACGAGCGTTCTGAAGAAAAAATTCGATATTAAAACCTAAACGTAGCTAATTAACGGTTTTGTAGTTGACACCACAACTTTCTCCAATTTCAATGCTACAAATAATTAAGATAATATGAAGCCTAATTCATCTTATAAATCTAATTCATTATAGAGAGCTATGATTGATGATCCTAGCTATATGATTCGAGTTATCAATAATTCAGCTGTGCTACTGTAGTATCTAGTTTTGGATTTCGTTGACCTGATGAAAATTATAAAAGGCTAATTACATTTAAACTATTAGCAAAGCTAACTTTAAAAAACCTGCTTTGATGTAATCGAACTTTTCCATGCCCAGATGTAAATGAAAAATCTCACCTGTAAATTTCTAGTGACAGATTAAACACCGATGGAATTATATTTTGATACTAAAAAATATCAGCAAGTGCTACTTAATATTATCTAAAATGCAATTAAATTCACTAATTAAGGAGGATTTGATATATTCTTAGACTACATTAGATCTGAAACATGCAAAGAATATGACTGTGGAACTTTAGTGACTCAAGTCAGAGATACAGGTATCGGAATAAGTGATACTATTCAAAAGTAATTGTTCTAGATATTCGGCAATTTGAAAAGAGTTAGTGAAGATTCGATTATCAGAACATAAGGGATCGGGCTCGGTCTTAGCATATGCAAAGAATTAGCATAGTTCTTAGGAGGTTCTATTAAATGTGAGAGTGATATCGGTGCTGGTACCAAAATGACTTTTAGTATTATTTCTAAATGTAAAAAGTGCATTGATTCATAAAAAATGCTTGCTGAAAAAAAACTACTCGATCATCAAGGAGAGTCTGATCATAATCAAGAATTTAAAAATTAGGAAATCCAAAATTCATTTGTTGATGCTTTCTAAATTCAAGAAAATAATTAGCTTTTAGATGTCTCTAAATTGAATGAGAGAGTTGCCTAAAAACAACGTAGAAATAGTTTTTCACCTATGAAGAGGGTTTTAAATCAGTCTAAATTTGTGACTAAAATGGTATTTGGAAATGAATCAGTATCTGATTTGTAGGAGTTAGCAAAGCTTAAATAGGTAAAAACAGGGAAAATTAAATTTAATCAAACAAATGATCCTTAAAATAATGTCTACAACAATGCTAATTTCAAAAGTACCTCAATGGCTTATGCTTATATGATGAATAATGAACATTCAAAAACAAGTACTGACTATAGCAGATTTGTAATGCCCCACAATATCATAACAGAGGATTATCTTACACCCTCTGACATGCCTACACTCGGGTTTGGGTAATCATATGGATTAGACGGGTTAAAGATAGACAAAACTAACAGTGAAAAAATTGTTGATAACAGTTCCCATCGTCCATCATTTAGCTAAACAATGAAGATCTAAGTAAACGGTGGCTAACATGTTCAGAGCAAATTTAGACCCGATGGTCTTGATGTTTAAAGGAATAAAAATCATTTTTATGATAATCATCATAATCAAACAAATCCTGACTTAATTAATCACAATAATTTGCATGATTAGCAAGCACTCATGGATTTTAGAGACATTCAGAGCCCAGCCTTCAACATAAACCTGCTTGGAAATAATTTGAAAAATATTAGTGCTCAAGAGAACTCTTTAATTCATAATTCTACTTAGTCTCCAAGATTTTCTAACTGTGAAATGAGCGAAAGAGGTGCAAATGAAATCAAGTTAGAGTTTAAAAATGTTGATGATTACTAATTCAAGGTTTCAGACAACAACTTGATGAACTTGAAAAAAGATATAGAGTACAATCAACCAATTACCAGAAAATTTAGATCTGCAATTTTTAAGGACCCTAATTGCGAAGAAGCTGAGTTTGAGACTTAGTAGGCTTTACATAAAAAGCAGTTGACATTTTAGATTCAGGAACTCATTGATAATGGTGACAGAAATAAAAAGAAGTCTAGTGATCAAGTATCATCAAATCACAAATTTACTTTCTACCAGGATAGCAAATCTAGATAAAACCAATCTAATTAAATCGATACTCAGAAGGTTCAAATAACAATAATTGATAATGAAGATAACAAGGAGCAGAACGAACTAAGTGTTAATCATCTACCTTAATTGGAATTCCCTGAGAATCATGATTACTTCTCCAGTTCAAGAAAAGAATAGAAAGAGTGCTCTTGTTCAGCTGAAATACTGATAGTAGATGATTAAATGTT